GGGATGGTAGGGGTGGGGGGGATGTCGTGGATGAAAGAAAACTTACAATACCCTACTGACAATCCCATATAAAAGGGGTGGCCAACCCTGTTCCCGGAGAGCCACCTTCCTGCAGATTTCAGTTGCTACCCATATCAAACACACCAATTAATTAGGACCTGACCACCACGTGGTAATTACAGTCAGGTTTGTTTGATAGGGGTTGCAACTGAAATCTGCCGGAAGGTGGCTCTCCAGGAACAGGGTTGGCCACCCCTGCCATATATATATTCATTCAAGTCCTGATCGGGAGGTAATGTCTGATTCTGGTCGAGTCTTAAACCACGTGATCGGGCCTGACTTCCGATGATTGGAGTCGTGATCGGATCTGGACATGCCTAGTATTTCATTTTCCTAGTAGCTTTCTACTAGTTTTCCCTCTGTTGTTGTTGTTTTTTTTTTTTTTTTTTTTTTTTTATAATCCTCAAAAAAGTTTTGAATCACTTGAGGGTGAGGACAAAAGTGAGTAAACTTACATATTGGGGGAACAGGCAATCTAAAAAAAATTCTAATTCAAATCAATAATTAATATTTCAAGTATTATTTTAGCAAGTTTACCTAAATTGCTTTCAAAATATCTATTTTTTATGCCTTTCAGAGTAGATACAATAAATTTTAGGGCAAACTACAGTAAAAACTAATTTAGATTGTGAGTGATTAGGGCAGCAATTTGTTTTTGTTTTTTTTAAATTACTTTGTTATATGTTTAATATTCTCTATGGATCTGGACCTAGACCAATAAAGTGAAGGCTGGCTGATTTTATTGGACTTTTTTCTGGCATTAAAAATATCTAACTGTTTGTACAGACATTTTATTGATGTGTCTGGAAAGATCTGTTGTTGTCATCTGCTGTGATATATTACATTGGATATTGAAGGTTGTTTTCTCAGCTGCTGTCCAATGGTTAATTTAGAGATCTTTCCTGCCCTTGTGCACCCACACTGAGTAGGAGATGTAGTGTGAACCTCTGTGCTCTCGCTTGGTTAAAGTCAGTGGGTGAACTCTTGCCGCCATGCCTTAGTTAAAGGGGATCTGAGCAAGCGTTTGGGCTGCAGGGCTGCAGGCGTGTGCAAGGATCAATGAGCCGCTGCTTCAGAAGGCATGTAGAGCAGAGGAAAAATGAGCTGCGCAAACAAACATGACAATGAAGGAGTGCACCTCGGATGAGATGCAGCCAGCATAAAATCACAGAGAGCTGAGAAGGAGTAGGGAGGGAGGAGGAGGGGGATCGGGGGGTAGGCACATAAGGATCCCTTCTTATTTTCCATCCGACTCTCACCTCCTCTGCTTATTCCTCTTCCATCTTCTAGAGTAGTATTTCTCCTTTTTTTGGTAGGTGCAATAGCTTGGAGGCAAGAAGTGTGACACTAGGGGTCTTCAAAGAGTCCAGACTTATCAAAGAGACACAAGGAGGGAGAAACGAGGAGGGGGCGCTCTGGGAATGTGTCGGCGATTGAAACAGAATGGGTGGGTGGTCACAAAAAAGAGGAAAGAGGGAAGAGGTAAGAAACAAGAACAAGAAGAGCCAGTGATTGAAATGAGAGAGGGCAGGAGAAAGCCATTGTCAGACCTGTTTAGCATTCACTAGTGGCTAATTGCACCAGCAAAGCTCGGTAGATACAAACCCCTCTGTGTCTAAGAGACATGAGAGATTCTCCCTTGATAGATCTCCCTCCCTGCCTAGAAAGCCGCACTCCTGAAGCAGAATGTTTAAAACTGGTACAGGGTTTGAGGCTGCAGCAGCACTGACACAGTAAAAGCCTGCATTGGTCGTACGCAGAGTACAGGGGATCGAGCTGCCACTTCTAATGACAAATCTCATAGTTCACGCCATTTGGTATGACAGCATGCAGGAGTAATGGGCTGAATGAATCACTGGTAGGAAAAGCTCAGCCTCACCGCCCTGCCTGCAGCTTAAACCACAACATGTATCGGCTATCCATTTGTGGAGTATTTCACCTCAAACCACACCTCGCGCTTGATGAATAGACAGATATCAAGCAGCTCTCCATTATCTGCTCAGAGGCGCAACACCCCAGCCCCGCTAATGTCATTTCCTCCCTCTGTCTCTGTTCATATGACTTCATCTTGATTCCACGTCCATGACGATTTGCTTCAATGTCAAAAATATTGGAATGTAATTATACATTCTGTTGTAGTTTTATTCAAATTTGCTCAAGGCCTTGTTGTTTTTTTCCTCACTTCATTGTCCATTCATATTTGTGGTGCATAATTGAAACTTTTTTGGCTTTAAGTCTGGTTAACCCACAGTCCCATTAACCCTTCTACAGTTTTCCATTTCTGTTATGGAGACAGGCAGATAAGCACTTGCTCTCTATAGTCCAAGTCTCTCTACAATCAAAGTCTCAGTCTCAAGTCCAAGACCCTCTTGAATCCAATACTCCCTGCCTAGATTTAGCCTCTCTCTAAGGCAAGACTCAGCCTAGTCCAAATCTCTCTATTCAGTCCAAGACCCTCTCCATTCCAAGACTCCCTGCCTAGTTTGAGGTTGTTTTCCAAATCAAACCTCTATGCCCAGTCCTTCTTTCTCTTTCCCTGATTCAAGGCCCTCTCCAATACAAGATTCTCTGACCCGTCCAAGAGTCTTTCAATCCAAGACCACGTCCAATTCAAGACACTCTCCAAGATTGTCCATTCCAGGTCCCTCTACAATCTGAGAATTCTCTCTCTAACTATTGTTTCTGTCCAAGGCACTGTTATAAGACACTCTCTCTCTCTCTTTCCAAAGTACCCAACTCCAGTTACCCAATTCTCAGTCATCAGAATCCATGCAGGTCGATTCTAATCAGGGATTGCTTTATTTCAAGCCTAAGTGCAGAACTCTCGCCAGCTAGAATTGAAACTGGCTCTTTTAAATCCAGAGCCAATGCCCTATTCCTTCATCTTGGGCCTGACTTGCTGCCATCCCCGCCACATAGCCCCCTCCCCCCGAATCCCAGCAGTTTGGTGTTCCCCCTGGAGGGACAGATAGAGTCTGGACCTAGTGCTAAGACTCTACTCCATCTGCAGAACTGCAGAATGCAGCTTCCAGTGCCAAGGGGGATAAAAGTGCTGACTCTCAAGCAATGCCTGTAGGAGCAGTTTAAGCAAGAATCCATATTTAAATAACTAAATGCCTCTCTTAGGTTTAAATAGCAATGGGTCTGAAGCACAATTCCAATTGCAGAGAGAATTCCATTATTCCAGGATGGTACCTGGGATGGCAATGATATTAGCAATTAAAATATCATAACCGTAATAATGCACTTTCCCTAATAAAACCTGCACTTGAGGATTTTTCTTTTCAAAGTCCCTTACTGTAGATCAAACACTGCATTTGCATATTACATGTGGCCTTGTAATCACTACATCCCTTTACAGTGATCAAGCAGTGCCATTTGCATTTCCTACAAAGCACGATAAGCACATTTTCACAAAAGATAAAACAATGACTAAAACGTGCGCCACCCGAAGAATGGTGCGCATGCTGTCCCTCACACATCAAAGACTACAAATTAATAAGAAAATTAAAAAAGGAAGTACATTAAAAAGTTTCTGCCCCATGACAAAAAGCCCCACGGTTCTTCCTTCTCTGTTCCGCACACACACACTCATTGTAAGAAAGCTTTGACAACAGAGGGAGTCATGCTGTGAGTCCATGTCTGAGTTTGCTAAGGAAGTCGATGTAATTACTGTGCAGTGAAAATGTTCGTTCACGCACTTCAGTGTCTCACTAACCGTAAATACCAGGGCACAAGGGAGCACACGAAGAACAGGCCTACAACTCATGCAAGCGTGAGAGAGTAAAGAGTGAGCACACAGTGCAAATGTTTAAGTGCAAGTGTGTGTGTATAAGTAATGAGCAGATGTGTTTAAAGAAATAGATTTGGCGTGGGTGGAATGACCAATATATTAAATCACAGCACAAGTATATCATGATACAGCAGCAATACATATACTCGGTCAGACTGCTGAGAAATTGAACTCCTAAATGCATATAGTGTATAAATTATAACATTTATTACCACATTAATATTGCAGGACAACCTACAGTTACGCTATGCTTTAAGGAGTTATGTGATGCCACAAATAAATCGCCCTTACTGTAGAAAAAGTTGTCTACTAGTCATGTTGCGTATTGGATTTTGAAAATGATGCTGCATATATACTGTGCAAACCTAGCATGTGTGTAAATGAGCAATATGTTGCATGACTAGCCATGCAAATATACACATTTGCACTGTTTGTATGTGCAGTAAATTTCTGAAAAATTTGGAAATTGCATTTCATGAGTAAAACGTGCAAGCAGATTGATGAATGAGCTTATAAATAAGCATACCGAGTTGGGGGGGCTTGCGACTTTGGGAAGTACGTAGCGTTAATGGCCTCTCTATATGTTTTAAATGGCTGTGTTAATGGGCTTTTTATATGAACTGAAATTGCTCTGTTAATGGCCCTAATTCCTACTCTAAAATGGTTCTGTTTGCCAGTCTGTGTGTGTGTTTGTCCGTGTGTGTGCAGCCTGGCACTATCGATCCCTCCCTGCAGTCAGCGAGCTGTGAGCTCACACAGAATTGGGAATGAAGGCTTTTCTGCAGGATCCTGTGATTTCCACTGTTTTATGAGCTCAGCGCCTCTGTATTTCAGCATGAGTGTTTGCCCTCATTGGCCTTGTGAAAAACACTGCGGTCACCTAAGCAGTGGTATCAAAAGAGAATTATATTGCTTTCCCCCGTCCGCAGAGAGATACTCCAATGAGAGATTCCCTCTTTACCATTTCCCCTCAATTTGAACAAAACGTTTCCTCATTAGCTGCCCCTCTGGAAATTACATATTGGAAATGCCCGTCTGCTGAAGTGTGATATTACAAATTTAGTGGTCAATTAGCCTAGTTTTGGGGGCCTAAAGTTATAATTAGATTGTTGTCTAACTGAAGCCCCCTCTTTCCTCTCGATTGCAGCTCCCGCATCGCAGAGTGACGTTCTCCACAGCCAACCCGATGCAAGATCAGCAGGACTCGTCTCAGCAGAGTTACTATGACAGTGGCTTGGAGGAGTCTGAGACCCCCAGCAGCAAGAGTTCTTCAGGACCACGTATTGGGCCCCTCGCTCTACCTGAGGACCACTACGAAAGGACCACCCCCGATGGTAGCATCGGAGAGATGGAACACCCTGAAACCGGTAAGAGTTTTGGCTCAGAAGTTGCTCAAGTGAGTTTTTTTTTTCTGTCAACGCTGCTTTGTTGTGGCCGAACTAGATCTATGTGTTTAGGGTCAGAAGCAGACTCAGCAGGGTCTGTGTCTTGCCCATCAGCAAGCCCTCAATCACAACAGCAAATCATTCTTAATGACCCTCTCGCACGAGTGTGCTAATTAAAAACTCAGACTAATGGAGCTTTTGGTCTCCGAATAAATCTGCACTTTGACGTCTGCCCAGACAACAGTGTGCTGATCGTAAACAGCTTCTTTGCTCAAGCCAAACTGCTCTCGCAGCAGCTGCCGGGGTCATAAAACAATAAGACGGAAAACGAAACCCAAAACGAAATTGCAAGGACTAAGCAGGATAGTCTACCGTCAATTTCGTTCAGCCATTACTAAATTCTGCCAGAGACGTACTAGACGTTGTTCCTGTAATTCATTTATATTGTCATTCTCATAACCAGACATCCTCACAGCAGCTGCCATTTTAAATGTTGCCATTCCAAATTCATCTCTGTTCAATTTAAATTCCATTATGACTGCAACGCTTCCATAATACCACTTTTTTGTGCCTATCTCCTTGAGATTTTTTCCTCTATTATTGCTGTTGTGCTTGATTACCATGCTGATATCCCTCTGGATGTCTCGGTGAGCTTGCGTTAATATTTTAACTGTGAAATATACCTCAGTCTTGTCACGTCAGGATTTTATGAAGCTCCGTGAAACACTGCGTCCTGTTGATTTCACACTGGGAACTTGCGCCGCGTCTGGGGTGTGTCTGCCAGACCCACAGACGTGCTTCGGATTGTAGGGCAACCGTTTAAGAAGTGAAATGTCAGCACCGCATGCGACTGGCTCTGTGTTCAGCAGAGAAAATCCTACAGCAAAGGAACACGTAATATTTGTTTGCACGTTGCCTTATGGGTCTTACCCATGTCTGATGTGTTATGCATGATGGTCTTTGGTCAGGATTTTCGGGAAATCAAGAATCAAGAGATTTAACCTCACCACCATAAAATATAACTCTACTGTAAAAACAATCTGTAAATTAGCAGTTTATATGTTTTTTTTTTTTTTTTCATTTTTTTATTTAGACTTTTGAGTTTCATCATTGGACCTTGATCTTTCCTCTATTATTTGATGTTGAAAAGTTTGAAAAATGAGAATTTTATTGACATTTCTAATAGCTTGAAGTCATATATTGTCTGGGTTGTTGTTGTAACTTACAGTACAAAAGGCTGGTAATAAATTGACCGTACTTTTTCTGTTATTTATTTATGGCCTTATTTCTCTCTAGATTATTTCTTACAATAGATGCTTTTTAACTACTAAAATGTCAATAAATGTCACTTTGTAAAAAGACAAACTTGCATTTTTAACATCAAAAGTCCACAGAGCAGTGATTAAGATCATTCATTCATGTCCTTCGGCTTAATCCCTTATTTATCAGGGGTCGCCACAGTGGAATGAACTGACAGTTTATCCAGCATATGTTTTACACAGTGGCAACCCAGTACTGGGAAACATCCATACACTTTCGCATACACACGCACTCGTACAGCACGGCCAATTTAGTTTATTTAATCCACCTATAGTGCATGTCTTTGGACTGTGGGAGAACCCGAAACAACCAGAGGTAACTCGCACAAACATGGGGAGAACATGCAAACTCCACATAGAAATGCCAACTGGTCCACCCGGGTCCAGCCAGCCACCTTCTTGCTATGTGGTGACAATGCTAACTACTGAGCTACCATGCCTCAATAATGCAATTCATAACCAAAATGAACAGAAAGCAACTGCACTGTAAAAAATAAGAAGTCGAGTAACTTTTAGATTTTAAAGCAACTGGCTGCAAAGCAATTTTGAGGTTATTCAGCTTCAGTGTTTGAAGTTGTGCCAAATATTTTTCTTAGGTTGAGTTTACAAAAAAAATTAAAGCAACTGGCTGCAAAGAAATTGAGAGGGTCACACTTTATTTTGATGGTCAGGTTGTTGAATTTAATTTACATTGCATCTACATTGCCAACTAATTCTCATTACATTTTAAGTAGACTGTTAGTTTGGGGTTAGGGTTAGTGTAAGTTGACCTGTACTTACAAAGTTTCTTCTGGTCAGTTAAATGTCTAAAGGGGCAGTATCAACAGATGTTGGGCAGACTAAAGTGCTACATTTGATAGTTTATTAAACCTTAATGGTTGAAGTGCCAAAATGTATATACATTTTTAAGTTGACTGAAAAGGCTGGTTTAAGTTAAATTTACTTTATGGAATAAAGCGATTTAACTCAATTAAAAAAAAAAATCAACTTCAACCACTCAAGTTTAAAAATTCAATATCTCTTTGCTGCCGGTTGCTGTAAAATTGTAGGTTAACTCAACTGTTAATGTTTGACAGTGCAGGAAGTAAAGACTTAAATGTAGGAATCAAAGTTGTACGACTCCTAAACAGATTTCATTATTTTCATTGAACAAACAGTTCTTAACATGCAGTTAATTAGTGTTAATGAGTAAACTTAACACTGAGTTGAAAATACATCCACCTAACTTAGAATTTTAAACTGAGTTAACAATTTGTATAATGTAATTTTTACAGTGTGAGAACAAAATATGACCTGTCACAAAATGTGAACGATGTTAATTAACACATATTTTTACAATGTATATAACTGTATTATTACTAAGAATGCAACAATTTAACATTAACCTTGCTTTAATTTGTTTAATTATATGGTTAATTAATCAATTAATACGTAATTCTCAACACATGGAACAAAATTGCTGCAACTAAACAAGGTTATGCCAACTCTGCACTAGTTTAAAGTTCCAAGCTTGTACACCAGGGCTATTAAATACACACACTGGATTAACTATGGCCGAGGCTTTTAACTAAGGGCAGTTCACTTTTCGCATCTTATGTTTAAATGCCAAACAAACAAAATGTATTAACTTATTTTTAAGTCCAAAGAGAAATTCACTACTGTTTGTTTTTTATCATTATTTTGTGCTGTATTATTATATAGTTACTGAAAGCCGTAAATAACACTTTTAAATATAAGGAGTTTTCTTGTGATTCGTAGTGTTTTGAAATTAATGAATGCATAATAATCATGAAAACCATGAAACCGTGATTATTCCTCAGACTATAATTGTACAATCAAAATCATTAATCATTGCATCCCTAATTATTACCATGTTGTTTAAAACCGGAAACAGGATTTTACAAGCTGCCTATATGGGCTTCAAACCATAATTTAGAATGAAATATTACCTCAAGATTCCGTATAATTGGTGAAGGATTAACTGTTGCTCCTTAATAAACTGTAACTCCCATGTGAATGGAGATGTCATGTTGCGAAGAGACAAAGGATTTTAGGCCTACTAACAGGATTTCTGTTTTGCTTATACTTTGAGATATAATGCTAATATTCATGGCTGTCTTCATTCAAACAAACTAAGCTTTTTTGGGCAGGAAACCAAGGCTTCTATTGTTGACAACTGTTTTCATAAACAATTCACATTGCAATTTTGGGAAGGTGTTTGGCGAACATTGCGTTTTTAAATGCACATTATAAGTGACCCAAAATCACAGCATTTGCAGAGATAGAGCCAGGTGGAACAGCATTTACTGCCAACCAAGCCATTCCAACAAAGCAAAAGCACTAACTGTTTGCTTATAACATCATGAGCTGCTTTCGTGTACACGAGCAATCATCGGATTTACATGAATTACACTAATCAAATATTTGGGATTCAAAATGTCTGTCAAAGGTGGCAGGATTGCATTTCTATAATCAGTAAATAATGACTTACTTTTTTGTTTTTTGTTTTCTTTAAAAAAAAAGATATATCTTAAAAGTGTTTTAGCCATTGACATTCAGATTATTTTTACCTTCTCCAGAAGTCAATGGCCACGGATTATGAAAATTCTTCTAAACTGATAAAGGTTTGAAATCACTTCTGAGTGAGTAAATTGTCACAGTGTGAAATATCTATTTAGTATTAAGTAAGAAAACAATAAATTATTTCATTATAATCACATATAATCCCACTAGAGCTGGGGTCACCAATTTTGTTCCTGGAGGTACGGTGCCTTACAGCGTTTAGCTCCAACTTGCCTCAACACACCTGCCTGGGTGTTTCAAGTATACCTAGTAAGACCTTGATTAGCTTGTTGTGTTTGATTAGAGTTAGAGCTAAAATCTGCAGCACACAAGACCTCCAGGAACAAGTTTGGTGGTCCCTGCACTAGAGGGACTCAGAAAGAGTCTAAAATCTTGTAAAACTCTCGAGATGTTAAGATCAGGTGTGATTTTTACATCTAAACAACTTAAGCAAATTATTACAACTTTACCTAAACACCATGTGTTTTGTAATCATTTTTTAATTAAGTTTTTCATATTATGCCAAACTCAAAAGTTTAATCTGGTCCAAATTAAGCAGAATGAAGAGTCAAAAAATCCTTATATAATAGTTTTTTTAAGGGTCTTGTTGTCAAAAATGTGAATTAATCATGAGAAGGTAATCATATTTCAGTGTTAGTTCACATTATCTAATGTGGTTAAATAACAACAAAAGTTAAGTTTACCCTAAAATATGCCATTATTTGCTCATTCTAATGTTGTTTCAAATGCAATACCTATCCAAAACAGTATTGGTTCTTAATAATTAGGCAAGTTATTGTATAATGATGATTTTTTCTGTAGACTATCGAAACACAATAGCTTAAAGAGGCTAATCATTTTGTCCTTAAAATGCTTTAAAAAAATTTTAATTGCTTTTATTCTAGCCTAAATAAAACAAATAATACTCCAAAAGAAAAAATATTATCAGACATACTGTGAAAATTCCCTTGCTCTGTTAAACATCATTTGGGAAATATTTAAAAGGGGAAAAAACCAAAGGGGGGCTAATAATTCTGACTTCAACTGTACAAGAACAAACCACATTTGCTTTCACTCATCAAGCAAGCATGTTTTATCTTC